CCCCCCCCTTTTCGCCTCTGTCTATCTGTCCATCAGGTATGCGCTTGACAACTTGGCCATACTGCAAAGTCGCTACAGCACCGACAAGGCCATGTCGACCCCGAACGTCGCCCGCTCCATCCGGCGGGCCGACGACTACTCCAAGCAGGTGGCGCGGGAGTTGCGGTCCATCAGACAGGCCGTCAAGGAGCGCAACCAGCAGAGGAAGGCCGTCGAGGAGAGGCAATTCGACCTTGGCCCAGCCATCGAGCGGATCGAGACTACCTTCAAGGACCCCTGGAAGGAGGTGGACGACCCCGCCCCGTCCAATCCGGAGATGTCGCCGCCTGACCCTTCGGCCGAGAAGTATCATCCCATGGCCAATGTCGGCAGCACATCCGAGAAGTATCGAGAGAAGATCTTCGAGGTCAGCTCACCTCCCCCACCCACCCACCCACCCACACAGAGAGAGAGAGAGAGCCAACACGTGTTTGTGTTTTTTGCCCGTGTGTGTGTGTGCGTGTGTGTGTGTTCAGTGGATCAGGGGTAACCCGTTCCTTCTGAAGGACGCCGAGGCTTACATAGCTCAGATGGGGGAGGAGGGTTTGGAGGAGGAGGACAGCAAGAAGAAGAAGGAGACCAAGATCAAGCACGTGGCACAGGGCAAGCTCATGACGCCCCAGGAGTTCCGCGTCATGATGATGCTCAAGTACCACGACGGACTCCTCCAGCCAGGCGAGAACGTCGGATGCGTCGCCGCTCAGTCCATCGGCGAGCCCTCCACCCAGATGACGCTGAACACCTTCCACCTCGTCAGCACACCCACCCACCCTTACACACGCCCACTCCCTCAATCATTCTTCCTGCTTGGCTCCATTTCGTCCATCAGGCGGGATCTGGTGGTGCGACGAACGTCACCCTGGGCATCCCCCGGCTAGTGGAGATCCTGCAGCGTGCCAGCCGCAAGCAGAAGACGCCCTTGGCGTATGTGGCCTTGCGGCGGATCCCCGACTGGCCCGACTTCCAGCGAGTGTTTGGCGAGAGGGCCGGCTACCGCTGCAGGAAGGTCACCTACGCCCACTTCATGAAGGCCGTCTCCTTCAATAGACAGCTCGTCACAATGGTGCGCCGGCCGCACAGGAAGATCGGCACACATTAAGGGTGATGACGGGGATGGGGCCTTCGTGTGTGTGTGTGTGTGTGGTCATCTTCTTAAGATGGGTGAGGCGACCCACGGGCTCCCTCAGCGATGGTGGTACTTCCGCATGCGGTTCCACCTGCACGACATCCGGGAGATCGTGTCGGCCATGCCCTTCATCACCTACGAGCAGATCGAGCAGATGTGCTACCAGAAGTACCTCCCGCGGCTCCTCAAGATCTTCAAGAAGATGTTCATGGTCTACTTCGACATCACAGAGGAGGCATGGGAGGGCTCCAAGGACTGGGGGCTCAAGGGCGGCAAGAGCAAGGCCGAACAAGCCCGGGAAGCGGAGGATGCTGCCGGCGGCGGTGGGGACGACATCGACGATGCCGCCGCGGACGAGATGCGCGAGCCAGAGGGGGAGGAGGAGGGCGACAGCGACTTGGAGAGGGACGATGAGGCCGTCGACCCCCTCATCGGCGATGACGACGAGGGGCAGGACGAGGGCGCCCCGCGGGACCGCGACGAGGATCTCTATGAAGACGAGGAGGACATCCGCAAAAGAAAGCGTCGCCGCAAGAGGCGGGAAGAGGAGGGAGAGGAGGGAGAAGAGGGTGAGGAGGGCTCAGACCTCGACATCGACGAGGAGCTCATGATGGACGAGGGCGATGAAGATGAGGGCGAGGGCGAGGGAGACGAGTCCGACGAATCGGGGAAGGACAAAGACAGCGAGGCTGAGGAACAAGAAGAGGATGAAGAGGCAGCAGAGGAGGAGGAAGACCGCCCGGCCAAGAAACCCAAGAAGCCCACACCGCCCCCGGCAGCAGCAGCAGCAGCAGCGGCCGCCGCACCATCACCATCCCCCGCGCCAGAGAGCGACGAGGGGGAGGAGCCAGAAGAGGTCGCCGACGAGGACATGGCAGACGCCGACCAAGACCAAGACCAAGACCGAGACCAGGACATGGCCGCCGCCGAGCAAGAAGACGAGGACGCAGGCGCCCCAGAGGAGAAGGAAGAGGAGAAGCCTCCCGAGAAGCCCAAGGGCTACCGGCAGGTCGACTGGAAGAAGCCCCTCCGCCCCGAGCGCCTCTCGCCCTTCCGACCCTGGAGCGACAACATCCGGCAGAGAGTGCTTCCCCGGCTAGACCTGCGCAGCGAGCAGGAGCACCGTCAGTACGGCTACTGGGACGGCAATGCCTATGTGGACCGGCGGGGGTACATCGTGGGGACTGTGGGGGTATTCAAGGCCTATGACAAGGAGGAGATGACGTCTGAGGAGTACAAGCCTCTCGAGGTCAGGGGCATCACCTTCAAGACGGAGGTCCTCGACTCACGTAAGCTTGCGGGGTGGGGGGATGCACAGCAGATACGAGATGGGGTGGACGATGTGTGTGTGTGTGTGTGAGATGCGTGTCAGGCAAGTCGTTGATCCGGGGTCCTATCATGTTCGACCGCAAAGGCAGCTGCATGACCCTCGAGTTCAAGTACAACGCCGACCTCTACCCAAAGTTAGCACACACACACGGACAAGAATGCACGAGCGCATTGTATGTGTGTGTGTGTGTGTCTGTCTGTTGCTGTGTGTGTGCGTACGTTTAGGGCGCTGGTCCCCAAGATCCAATGGCACCGGCCGTTCAGGAAGAAACTCATCTGCGGCTCGCAAAAAATCTCATGCTCCAAAGTCCTCAAGGTACCCGCGGCACTTACACAACTCTGCGTGTGTATGTGTCTACCCAATGTGTGCTCCGTGTGTGTGTGTGTGTGTGTGTGTACAGGACAAGGATGGCGGGCGCAACACGGTGACGGGTGCCGAGTACGAGATAGAGTTCAACGGCATCGACTTCGGCATGTTCGGCAAACTCAAAGACGAATTCATCGACCACACCAAGTTAGTCAGTCACCATATGGCCATCCACGCACACCCACACAGACAGAGAGGTTTGTCGATGCACTGTGCGCCTCTGGCTGGCTGCCTGCCAATGTGTGTGTGCAGGACACGGATGAACGACCCCTACATGACGCTGGTGCACTTGGGTGTGGAGGCGTCGCAGCGCATCATCATTCAAGAGGTACACACGCTACGCTACACTACCCTTCACACATGGGAGGGAGGTATGGGCGGCGGCTGTGGGGGACTGTGTCTGACTCCGTGTGTCCCTCCAGCTCGAGGCTGTCTTCTCGGTGTATGGCATCAACGTCAGCTTCAGGTGGGTATCCCTTGTAGGCGAGGCGTACGATCAGAGGAATGAACATGTTCATGGAGGCGATGATGGAGGGCCTCCGTCCCCTCTGCTGTGTCGGTGCGTGCAGGCATCTGTCGCTCATCGCCGATGTCATGTGCCGCAACGGTGGGCAGAGCCAGCCAGCCAGCCATGACCAGCTTGCTGACGCCTTACGTTCCATGTCTGCTGTGCTGCTTTGGTTCTGTCTGGTTCGGTCAGGGGACTACCGCTCCTTCAGCCGACACGGCCTCAAGGTATCCATCCGTCATCCATCCATCCATCCATCCATACACACCACACCACACCACACCGCACCGCACCGCACCACAACGCCAACCACTCTCTCTGTCTCTGTATGTGTGCGCCTCAGTATCACCACTCGTCGCTGCTGCGCATGTCGTTCGAGACCGCCCTGGGCAACCTCAACGAGGCCATCGAGACCGACGCCGCCGACCACCTCACCACCCCGGCCGGCGCAGTGGTGGCCGGCAAGCTGGCCAGGGTGGGGACGGGGACGTTTGACATCCTGCCGGTGCTGCCCGCTGGCCAGGGGCCCGTCAAGAAAGAGTTCTCCTTCAGAGCCATCAAGATGGAGGAGGACGGAGAGTGAGTGATCATGGACGGGATTGGGCATGGTTGTTGGTTGTCGTCTTTGTGTCGTGTTTTATCGGCTGTGGGTGCGAGTTGGTGCTTTGCGACCTTTATTGCATTTGTGGGATTTATGGGGACCCATATAGACATAATGTGCATTCACAAGGTCACTGTTGGCCGGCGTCGAGTCAATCATTCACGCGTCGATGCGTCGCTTCACCATAGCCATGCAGGCGTCTGTGTGTCTGTGTGTCGACTCGCCGGCCATGTGGTCCTGGACTGAGTACAGCAACAAAATGCCGTCGTGACACTGACACACACCATAATCCGTGTGTGCGTCTGCGTGAGTCCGTCGAGTGGGAACGGGCCGACCTGTTTGTGTCCGATTCCGTAAGTGACGAGCAGTTTCTCTGCGAACGAGTTGGCGTATGTGTTGAGTTCCGTTCGTTCGTCGTGCTTGGCCCTCTTCTTGTCCTTGGCGAGTGAGTAGGGCAGCTTGGCCATGAGTGCGATGGCCAGTTGGTAGAAGGTCTTGCCGAGGCTTCCACAGGCGTGCTGCGTCTCCAGCCTGAACTTGAGCAGTCGCGTGTCGACGTCGTTGGCCTCGTCGTCGGTGAGCCATCCGTCGGGGTCACACAGCCAGATGGTCTCCCCCGCCTCGGCCGCCTCGCCGCGGTTGCAGCTCGTGGGGTCCAGGAACGGACTCGGGTAAGTGGACAGTGACCACTCCCTGCAAGCACCGTATCGCACGGTCACACACACAAAACAGACAGAGAAGGCGTGATGTGGGGATGAGTGAATGAATCAGGGTGTCGTGCTCGGTGTTTGTGTTCCTTTCTCACTTGTTCTATATATACGGACCGGCACTACATGGCCCCCACATCCATTTGTCAGCGCTGCTGGAACTTGAGCACCTCGTCGCCAACACAGACCCAGCCAGGCCGCAACTCACTGAACGGACATCCATCAAAGACACCCACACACCTTGTTTGCTTGTTGGACTGCCCTTTTCGTTGGAGCCTTACCGTGCAAAAATCTCCATCATATCAAATGGTCCACTGATCATCCCTTCGCCATTTCCACCACCAAACCCCAATGCCGGGCCGATAACGTGGCGCCACAGCACATCCGGGGGCGGCTTCCGCGAGTGCTGCCTCTTGGACGACCACACAAGGCGCACCTTCCCCCTCTGATGCTCTGCCGAGGGAGCACATGGCCGTCCGATTATCAGCTGCTCGTACGGCTTGCGATGGGGCGACTTGAAGGGGCTGGTTAGCTTCAATCCATTGGTGAAGTCGACCTTGACCCACACGACCCTCAGCATCACTTGACGGATGAGTTCGCGCGTGACGAAGGCCTCGAAGGCAGGGTTGTTGGTGACCCATACGGCCAGAAGGCCTCGGTCAGGGCAGGGGAAGAACGTGGAGTAGGGCTGGCAGCGGAGAATCGAGTACAGCTCCTCCTGACCTACATGCATATGCACCCGACGACAACACAGACAGACATACAGACAGACAGTCGAGTCGATTGGAAGAGCATGTGACTATCATGTGAGCGCTCACCAGGTCTCTGGTAGGCCTTGCTGCGCTTGACAGAGTGACATCGCCACGGGGGATCCATCTGCAAGATGCACACACACAAAGCATCATCTCAACCCACGAATCTCTTCTCTCCTTGCTCACCAGCACGAATCTGAATCCCTCTCTGGGTCTGATAGAGCCCAACCTCTGCCAAGGGTCCCCTCCCTGCTGATCTCCTGCGGCCGTCAGGCAGGTGAGCATGAATGCTGACCTCTCCGGCACGGAATAGACGCCCTGCCCTCCGTCCCTGTGTGTCAGCTGGAGGCTGACGGCGGCGTCCGATGAATTGACCACCAGTCTGTCGACGAGCTGACCGATCTCCAGGGGAGTGGCGGAGTGGCTGGGGCTGAGAATGAGGGGATGGAGGGCGGGCGGACTCCATTGGCGGCACGCAGCCGCCAGGTCCGGCGAATGGTTGTCATCTTCTGGCAGTGGCCTCTTTCGTGCTGAGTCCGAAGCGGGAGCGGAAGCAGGACCAGGTCCCTCTGCCGAGCCTGTCTGGAGCCACTGCTGAAGCACAGCTAGCTCCTTCTCGATGAGCTCATGAAGCCGCTGTTGGCTCCACTCCCTCTCATCGTCCTCTGCTGGGAGATCTGCATCTGCCGCTTTCGCCAGATGGGAAGGATGCCCTGGAGCAGGATCTCTCTCATGTAGCAACACTGTTGACACTGAAGTGACCCAGTAGGCGCGAAGGAAGGGCATTTGCTCAAAAGTCTCCAAAAGTGTAAGCTCGCAAGTCGATCAGAAGCGGGTCGATCAGGAGGGGCCGGCAGCAGCCGATCTGGACACAGTAGGCCACATCGCAGCAACATCGAGCGACGTTTATCGATTTCTTGCATCATGATTCATCCAATCTTCAGCCTGAGTGAGTCAACCAAACGTTGTAGCACAAGTGTGCACGTTCCCTCAGAGGGCCTCACTTTCAAACGATCAACAACGGAAGGATACACCGCAGGCACCCACCCCCACACACCATCCGATTCATCCATCCATCCATCCGTTTGGTTCTGACAATGGGAGCAAGAACGGGTGGGAAGGCAAGACAGGCAGACAGTCAGCCACCGACTACCGACTCGACTTCCCAGCCCAGAAATACACAGACGGCGACCGCTTCAACAAAAGAAAAAGGCAAGCAAGCGAGCCCCGCACCCGCCCACCGCCCGTCGACCGACATGTATGTCCTTCAGTTCAGTTCAGGCTGTGCTGTCGTTGTGTAAGTGTACAGTACGGGTGTGCGTTTGATTCAAACAATCGACTTCCCCTGTCTCTCCTGCTCCTCCTTGGCCTGCTGCTTGGCCTGCTGCAGCAGGTTGTTCCATCGTGACCCCCTCCTCTCCCGATCCTCCTTGGCCTTCTGCAGCGCCATGTTCCATCGTGACCCCCTTCTCGGCTGCTCACCAACTTCCTCCTGCGGCTCCTCTTTCTTTTGCTGTCCAGCCGCTCGCTGTGGGGATGTTGGCGAGGCCGAGCCGAAGCCGACTGAAGGCCTGGCGACAGTCTTGGCTTCAGGGGACCGGTGTAGGTCGATTTCGCTCCACTGCGATGCTCGGCGGACGTCGGATTGGCGGCGTGGGAAGTCCTGCGACGGGCTTGGCAGGTCCTCCAGGGACGAGTCGGGAGTCGACTCTTCATCAATGTGCTGGGCCGTGGTGTCGGTGGGGCGCTGGTGACCACCCAGGTACTGCTGGTCGAACATCTGAGCGAACCTCGACTGCACACTCCCGCGCTTGACGCCTGAAGAGACACAGAGATTTTGCTTTCTTTCAACCTCGGTGTCTCCGTGTCTCGTCCCTTTGCCCTTTTGTGACCTCTGTCGAATGCGGCCATGTAGTCCACCGACTGGTGAGAGGTGTGAGATACGATGGACGACCGACGGTCACTCTCATCGTCACTCATCGCCCGCACGCTGCCCCTTCCCTTGGCGACGCGCTCGCCCTCGCCGCCCTCGTGACCACACGATGAGACAGGCGACTCCTTCTCAGTCGGCTCACTGCCCGTAGATGTGCGGCAGCCGCGCTCCACCTCCGCTTCAGAGTCACTCGTCGTTGCTCGTGGGGGGAGTCTGACCACCTGCACTGGCGGTGGCAGCTGCTCGGTGTCGCTGGGCAGTGCAGCCGGCGGAGAAGGCTGCTCCGCTGCCGCCGATGACGAGAGGAAGGCCTTGCTCGTGGCCGATACGGCTGTGCTCCAGAGAGCGCCGAAGATGCTCTTGCTGGTGGAAGGGAGCGGCGATGAGGTGGGCGATGGGCTTCGCTCACTCTGCGCCCGCAGCGGGAGAGCGACGGCGTTCTTGACAGCCTGGTCGGGGACGACAGGCTCGGGCGGAGGAGTGCTGATCAGTGGGGGGGCGCTCTTGGTGGTGAGGGCGTCTGCCTGGGAAACAGGGGATGGCACGTTGACGACGCTGTCCCTCTGGCGCGAGACGGTGACATGGTGCTGGTGGAGGTCGAGCTGGTCAGGGGTCATGTAGTCGACGATGGATCGCCTCCCCGCCACTTCAGGCTGCTCCTGCGCCCGCCACAGCTTGACCGCCTCGATGAGCGCCACGTCAAAGTCATCCACGTTGGTCGACGACGATCGCCGGGGCCTCTCCTGTGCCTGCGCTCCACTGAGGTCGACGTCAAAGTGCCTGAGGAAGTTGAAGCAGCCGTCGCAGACCTTGCACCACGTCTCCTCCGCGCCCCCCTTTTCAGAAGCGGCGAAGGATCCCTTGTCCTTGGTCGCCAAGGCCTCCACCATAGCTTTCCTCATCTCTTGCTCGGCATTTTCGCGGGCCTCGGCAAAGTCACGTCTCGTGGGGGAGGCCTCGGCCATCGTGACGCGCTTCTGTGGAGAGAATGAACTCGTTGGCGCGCGGCGCAAGGACAGGGAGAACCGGGACTTGCGTCGCTCGGCGAGCTGCTCTGCAGCCGGCGAACCTGCCGAGGGCGATGGGGGCATGGCAGTGGGAGACATGGGCGAGGGGCTCGAAGGAGCGGCCGCCCCTCCTTGCCAGAGACTGAACCGTCGGACACCTGCAGATAGACAGAGAGATGAATGAAGGGGTGGGTCAGATAAAGAGGAGGGGTGCGGTGCATGCCATGTATGGGATGGGCGGGACGGGCATTCACCTCACCTGCCATGGGCGACTTTGGGATTTTGGGTTGTCCGTCGTCTGCGACGGCTCCCGGGGCAAGGCTCCCGGGGATCTTGGCTCTCTTGCTGCAGCACTTGGGGCACAACTCAATGCCACAACGACCGCACACTCTAGACAACACACAAACAGAGGGAGAGGGAGAGGGAGAGACTGGGGATTGATATCACGTATGGATGTGGGTGTCGTGTCGTGTCTCAGCTCTTTTGCAATTTGCTCACTCGCGAGGGATGTTCATGAAGAGCTGCTCACAGATAGCGCATGATGATGCGACCAGGCTGGCCCCCGGTGTGCGTTCGGGGTCCTCCTCAACGTCCCCTGCCCGCGGCCCCGCATTCGGGCGGCCCCAGAAGTGCAGCTTCTCGCGCAGACCCTCCTCCGCCATCGACGGCCATTTCAGACGACTGAATCAATCAACGAATGAGGAAATGAGTGAATCATTGGGTCAGTGCGGGCAAACACATCTATCTGCGCACAATCTATTAAAATTGCTTGTGTGCTTTGCTTGTTTGTGTGCTTACGTGTATTCGTCTTTGAGTCGAATGATTTCGTTGTAGTGTCTCTTGACGAGCAGCTCTGGCTTGCCCACCTCGTCGCTACCCGTGCTGCCCCGCCGCCCGCTGCTCGGCGAGTCGTCCTCACTGCCGCTCTCCCAACTCTCGGGCTCACCACCTCGGTCGGCAGCATGGTCGCTCTCTCGGTCAGCCAGCCGCGACCTGTCCCACCCGATGGCGCCAAAGCTGGCCAGGAGGAGGGCGATCGCCTTGTGCTTGACGAGCTCCGAGGGAATCTGCCCCGGACCGCCGCCGCTGCTCGTGCCTTCACGCTTGTTGGGATGGGCGCCGAATCGGAGGAGCAGCTCAGTCATCTTGCGGTCGCCCTTTAGAATGGCCCAGTGGAGGGGAGTCTGCTTGGCTCGGTCGTCTGAAAACCAAAGGCACACATATATGCGATGCGTGTCTGGCAAATGCTTGCACGATTGAAAGGAAAGACAATGACTGCACTAACGCACGCACACACACACGCACTTGTGGTGACATTGGGGTCAGCCCCGGCCCGCAGAAGTCGCTCAGCCGCCTCGAGGTGCCGCTCCACAACGAACACGTGGAGAGCCGAGACGTCAGGCAGCCCTTGGAAGCCCCGCCTTTGCCCTCGTGTGCTGTCTTTCTCGTCCCCGCCCGCCGCAATCGACACGTACACCCTCTTGGAGGTCCGTGAATCGATGCCGGGCGGGAAGCGCAGCAGATGGCCGAGGATGAGGAAGGCGGCCGTCTCATTGGGGATGCGGGCGGCCAGCTGCGGCACGGACCGCCCGCCGTAGTCGAGGATGTAGGGGTTGGCGCCGGCCTGCAGCAGCAGCCGCACCGCCTTGGGACTGCCTGCACGGATGGCCATGACCAGAGGGGTCTCGTTTGCATAGTTGAGGGGATCCAACTACAGGCAAGGAGAGAGAAGAAACATGTACACATGTGCAGGGTATATATACAGACATGTCTGTAGGTGGTGTAGTGGGTCTACAATGATATCGAGTCTGAGTAGCAGCGACAGTGTCCTCAGACTGCCAGTGAATGCGGCGATGTGGAGGCCGGTGTTATCCCACTCGTCGGGTTGATCGGGGTCCTCGCGGTGCAGCAACATCATCCGCAGGCCCTCCAGATCGTCATGCATCGCAGCATGGTACACAGTGCCACCAACCTGACAGTAAATAAACCACACACAGAGGAATCCTTTGTGTCAAGGAAGGGTGAGACACGCACCTTCTCATGGCCGACGAGCAGCCGCTTGTACACCGGGTTTGGGAGGAATGTCGCGCCCAACATCGGATCTCTCGTCCGCCTTCTGCCCGACGCGTCTTTCAATGACTCATGCGGCCCCTTCTGACGCCCCTGACTGCCGTCGCTTGGATACACCCAGGCGTGAATCGCCCTGCGGAGGGTGTTGAGAAACAGCCTGCGCTCTTCTGTGGACTCGAAGCATATCATGCCCTGGAAGGCCACTGTGGCGGACAGGGGCTCTTCGAGGGCGACGACGGACTCGACTGCGATTCCGGGGAGGCTGTGGGTCTGCCATTCGAGCAAAGAGGGGGCGGTCTTGCGCTTGGGGTCCTTCTTCACCGGCCTGCCGTCTGCTGAGATCTGGTCCTGCAGACAGACAGACAGACAGACAGACAGACGTACACACGGAGGCACATCATGTCCAGTCCAGTAGATGGCACGCCTGCATGTCTCCTCTACGCATGTCTGTGTGGCTCCGTCGCCCCTCACTGACCATCATGACGTGGCACCTCATCCATCTGAAGGGGATGGTGCGGTGGTGCTTGAACTTGCCGCTGGTGGAGGGGGGCTGAGTCAGCATCAGGCAGTCGGTGCAGATCATCGCCCATTGGGTGACGAAGTCACCCATCAGCAGCTGAGTCGTCAGCTGCTTCCGAGGCCGGTACACGATCCCGTGGGCGAAACACCTGACCACGCACAGACCATCATCCACAAAAGACAAAGGCGTGCAGTGCGAGAGAGCGCCTCTGACAGCATGAATGGGTACTTTCGCTCTCCCGCTGGCGTGACGGCCTTGATATAAGGGCTCTGGTCCGCCCCAATGAGGTCATTCCACCTGTCCTCGTGCACAATAGGCATATCCGATTCTCTGGTCCCCCACTGGTAAGAAGGGCAAACTGCAGGGCAAACTCACAGCTCCAAAACACTCTCTTTCTTCGGGGGGAAGGGGGGAGAGAAGGGACTCTCTCGTGGGGGCTAAGCTCGCGGCCCCCATGCGAGCTTGAGCAGAGGCTCGAAAACTGAGGAACTCAACTGGACATCTGCAGCCATCCCGTGTGAACACTTGGCGGATTATGACGTCCAGCAGCTCCCGCGGGGACTCTCGGCACAACGAGCGGATCCTGTCGACGCTCAAGAGGAATCTGCCCTCGGACATGATGGCAGAGATCTCCGAGAGGATGGGTGCTCTCGTCGCGTCCGCCGGCACATCATATGAGACGAAGACCTGGCTTGACTTCGTCACCGCCCTCGCCCGCCACCCCAGCCGAGTGCGGCCAGCCGGGGCGGAGGATCCCCTCTTGAAGGTGCTGTTGATGTGTCCAGAGCGTGTGAAGGGCGAAGCGCGGCGTATCATTTTAAGTGGCGGCATCACCCGCAGCGACTCTGCAATGGCCGCCCGCCCAGCGCCCATGGAAATCGAGATAGAAGACGACAACCTACCCGCTGCCGCAGCTGCTGATGGTGCAGCCAGTCGTGCCAGCAACACGCCCGCCGGCTCATCTGCATCATCCAATCGCAAGCGACACCCGCCCCTCTTCCCTCCCAAGGACCCCCCTCCACCCAGCAGCAAGGCATCAAAGCGGACCGAAAGCGCTAACGGGGCAGCGACCAGGCGGAAGGGCCAATCATTCCACCAGCGCGTGGGCTATGAGGGTGCGGAAAGGGACACGCCCTTCAGGCCACAGAGGGCGGCCAAGCAGCCACCTGGTGGTGCTGGTGCATCGGCGCGGCGCAACCAGGGCAAGATCGACCCCAGTGCGGCCATCGAGCGGCGCAAGAAGAAGGCTCGGGAGGGCAACGGCGAGATTTCTTTTGACGCTCCTGTGGTGAGCGTGGCCAGCCTCTCGTTGGAGGACGACAGCCGAGATGCAGTGCCCCCGCTGGCCCAGAACGAGAACAAGATCCACGACACCAAGGTCTACTTCCCCTTCCGGCCGGCGAGGGCGCAGCTGGTGGCGATGCGGACGGTGCTGGAGGCCTTGAAGGAGACCACACCTAGCAGAGAGGGAGGCGGAGGGGGAGGGGGAGAGGGAGAGGGGCAGGACGGTGGGGATGTAGACATGGCGGCTGCAGCAGCGGGTGACAAGGACAAGGCGACGACGAACCTGCCACCCGTGGGCAAGGATGACCTCAATGTTGCCTTTGTAGAATGCCCCACAGGTCGGCAAGCCACACCCACAATCATTGCCCCCTTTCATTCATTCTGTGGTATGGTCTTCAGGCACGGGCAAGACGATCGCACTGCTCTGTTCCGTATTGGCGTACCAGCACAGCATGGCGCAGGAGGCGGCGGAGGGCAGGATCAAACCAGAGCAGGTGCCCAGGGTCTTCTACGCCACCCGCACCCACAAACAACTAGATCAGGTTCGAAACACGTACCTGTGTGTGTATGTGGGTGGCTTCATCTGCTGTCGTGTCGGTGTTTGTGCCTGTGCCTGTGTGTGAGTACAGGTAGTTTCCGAGTTGAAGAAGACGCCGTATCGGCCCCTGATGACGCTGCTGGCGTCACGGGAGCGGTTCTGTCTGCACCACACAGTCATGGCGGCCCCAAACAAGGTACACCTCCAACGTGGGCTTCCTCGGGTCTGGATGGCTATGATGTGTGTGCGGGATGCTCATTGTGTGTGTGTGTGTGTGTGTGTGCAGGCCGAGGCGTGCGAGAACGCCACGTTCATCGACAACATGGAGTGCATGCACCTGCAGCACCACGAGGGCATCAGATACCCTGCCAACTTCCTCAAGGTCTGTCTGTCTGGTGACGACCAACACACACACAAGGTGTCAGTCGCCGTGTACGCATCTGTGCTCAGCACTACACTCCCGGGCGAGAGGGTCATCTGGCGGCCTTTGACATCGAGGAGCTGGTCAAGGAGGGCAACGAAGCATTCATCTGCCCCTACCACACCACCCGCGACCTGCTGTCGGAGGGCGCGGCACTCATCCTCCTGACCTACTCGCAGGTCTTCGACCCCCCAATACGCACAGCCAACTCCTTGTTCAATGCGCTGCCGGGCAGCATACTGGTGAGTTTTCGGAAAGCGCCGTGGGGGAGGGCTGTCCACAGGCGCACGTGTGCTGCGGTGTTGCAGATACTGGATGAAGGGCACAACATCGACAGCGTGTGTCGGGACGTCGCGACGCTGGAGCTGACCACCACCAAGGTCGGACACACACGCGTCCACAAACACACGAACCATGCATCGCATCTATCTGCCTCTACACGTGCTCCCATGTTGTGTTGGTTCAAACGACTGTGGGTCGGGTCAATTTCTCCGTGCAGTTGTACGAGATGCTGGAGGATCTGCAGCGGATGCACGAGGTCCTCGCCAGCAATGCCGAGCACTCCAACCTCCTCCCCATCAACGCCTCCTTCCAGACACTCATATACGACCTCATGTCATTCACCCTGGCACAGCACTCAGAGGCAACATCCACACGACCCCCTCCCTCAGCACCAGCGCCTCCGCCGGCGCCAGCGCCATCCCGCGCCCCCAAGCCCATCAGCCGGACGTCGTCGATGAACTCGATCAGCGCGGAGCCGCCGCGTGGCTTGCCGGTGGGTGCGACAGGCTGGCGGCAGGTGAACCTGTCGTCGGGCGGAGTGGGAGGGAATGGCGGCGATAAGGAGGTCACACATTGGGTGCAGGTACGCTCGCCGCAGACAAGGGTGGGAAATGGATGTCGACGGCCGTGTGAATTCGTGTCCGTGTGCATTCTGTCCTGTGTTTGTCTGCAGGCCGGCACCGACGCCCTGGGAAAGCTCATCGGCATCTCTGACCTCTCGCGGCCGACAGTCAAGCGCCTCCAGGATCAAATCAGGCAGATGCGAAAGGCGCTGCAGGTACGCACACACGCATGCCATACACGCCCAGACATTCGTCCGCCATTCTCTCCCCCCTCCCCCACAGGCAGAGGGGTTCGAATCGACGGCTGTGAAGAGCGGCACCATTAACGCCCTGGAGGGCCTCCTGTCGCGGCTGGACTTCTTCATCCACTCCCGTGGCGAACCCTACAAGTGCTGCATCTCAGCCCTCCACACCGCCCCACTGCAGGGAGCCGCCCGGGGCGGGGCAGCAGCCTCCCATGGCATCGGCTCAGCCCCGCGGCGAAGGGCCAAGAAGATGACACGGCAGGAGAAGGAGACAAGACACCTGGCGGCCAAGCACCGGTACGCCGACTTGACTGGCAACAGCGACGACTCCCGTCCGCCGTTCGAGGCCACCCTCACCCTGCTGTGCCTCGACGCATCCGTGGCCTTCCGCCCTGTGGTCGAGTGGACGCAGCTGACCATTCTCGCGTCGGGCACCCTCTCACCCATGGACGCACTCGCGCGCGAGCTCATCTCCTTCGGGCTGAAGCCGTCCAAGTCGTCCCCCCGCCCCCTCCCTCCTGTGTCGACCGACGGCCTCCAGAAGGCCATTCACGTCAGCACAGTGCAGCAAGGAGAGGACGGCGAGGATGAGGGCGAGGCCAGGACGGTGGCGGTGCGGCTGTGGGCGCTGACAGCGCCGCACTTTGCGTCGCTGCAGGACAACCTCGTGAGTCGGCTGCTGCAGTATGGGCCGGTGGGGCTGGAGGGGTTCAAAAGGGGAGGTGGCGGAAAGGACAGATTCGCCAAGCTCGACATGTCCTATCAGTGCCGAAGGCAGCCTGACCAGCAGGACGCACTGGGCGGTGCCATTGTAGCACTCGCACACATCGTCCCGAACGGGCTGCTGGTGTTCGTCCCGTCCTATGGGGTGCTTAAGGTGCGTGCGTCAGGCGAGAGGGACAACAGACACGACACCGTACTCTATGGATGCGTCTGTGTGGTGATGTGTGTGTGTGTCAGATGTTGGTGGATCGGTGGCGTGTATCGGGTCACATGGCGGAGATGGAGAAGCGGAAACGTGTGCTGGTGGAGCAGCAGGGCATGTCCGCCGACGCATTCGACCAGATGCTCAAGACATACCACGATGTAATCACACGAGGGGGAAGGAGCACCGCCACACCACACCACACCACACACCATGTCACGGATGGGATCTGTCCGGCTGCCTTGTCAGGCCGCTAAGGACAAGAAGGGCGTGTTGCTGCTGGGCGTGTGTCGCGGGCGGGCCAGTGAGGGCGTCAATTTCAAGGACCACAACGCCAGGTACCGACCTGGACACACCACACGGTGGCACACCCATCCCTCCCTCATGGAACCGATGGATGGATGGATGTATGGATGTGTGTGTGTGTGTGGACCTGTAGGGGTGTACTCATAGCTGGCATCCCCTACCCTCCCCTGAAGGACCTGCAGTCGGTGCTCAAGCGCGAGTACAACGATGCGGAGAGCCGGAAGGGCGAGGAGGGGGCTGTGGTCAGCGGCAATGAATTCTACCAGATGGAAGCGTTCAGGTGAGGAAGACGAGCGGGCTCCCGGGCGGACTGTCGTGTGTGTAAGGCGGGCGTGTCTGCGTGTGGTTCAGGGCCGTCAACCAGTGTCTCGGTCGCCTTCTTCGGCACAGCAAGGACTACGGCTGCGCCATCCTGCTCGAGCAGCGATACGCGCAACAGACGCACAGACTCCCCGGCTGGTTCACCGGCCAGCTGCCCCCCATTCCCAGCCAATTCTCGGCCCGCAATGCCTTCTCCGACACCCTCAAGGACGTCGGTGCCTTCTTCAAGAACAAGAGCGACGCCAACCTGCCCCCACAGCCACAAGCGCCGCAGCCGTCGGACCCGACCCGCCCTCGGCTCGATGGTCAGGCGATGATCATGAACAGGGGCGTGGCACCGTCGTCACGCGGGCCGTCGTCACGTGCGAGTTCGAGGGAGTCGTCTCGGGGTAGCTCGAGGGATGGGCAGAAGGGCAGGAGGAAAGGCAAGTAGTGTAGTGCAGTGAGTGCATCATTCGTTGGGTGCCAGTGGGGTGGGAGACTCGTCTGGTGGTACGTGGCGTGGGTTGGTGTCAGTGCGTAACTCGTCCAATCCAATCGACGCTGATCTGATTGATGTGCGTGATCGATGTCGATCAATCTTCCAATGCATTGAATTGACAGATCGTATTAATGCCAGCGACAACTCAGAAATGAAAGAGATGCAACATGCATTTGATCATTTTAGCTGAGCATGCATCTGTCTTCTCATGTCTTGTCGCTGTGTGTCCTCTCTCTCATGTCACTCATTCCTGAGCGATGAGGCCAGTCAGCGTGTCGGAGAGTGTCTTGGCGATGGCCTCCGTCTGCTGGGTGACTGCCTGGAGTGGTGTGGCAAGCTCTTTGGCATGGTCCTCGCCATACACAGCCACACCTTCATCGTACAGCGCTTGCTGCTGCACACACAGACAGACAGCGAGAGGGAGAGAGACAGGGATGAGTTTGTGAAGGTCTGTGTGTCTGATGTTCGCCACCATTTGGTGGAGTGCGTATGCGACACACGCGCCCACGAGCGCCAGAAACAGCACAATCAGCAAAATGTCCATCGTGTGGGACGAACCTGACAGTCACATCGTGTCATGCACACACACGTCTGTCTATGTGTGTGTGTGTTTCATGAGATACCGCCGGGTGCGTGGTGTTTGGTCGGCAGGCGGTGTTCGATCAGCTCAATCGCCTCAAGCAGTCCATCCTTGAGATTGTCGCCATTCAGCTGACACACACACACACACACACACACACATGGATGGATGGATGGATGAGTGTCTTCAGCTGACACACGTGAATGGCTCGTTCGATGTCTCGTTCGATGGTGAACTTGGCGGCCTCGTTGATGTAAGGCTCCAGCCCCTCACGCCAACGCACTACTGCACACACGATGGACACACACATCCACACACACGGTCATTGGTTGTGTGTCCATCCATCCATCCATCCATCCAATCGTCTGTGTGTGTGTGTGTCGACTCGCCGGCCATGTGGTCCTGGACTGAGTACAGCAACAGAATGCCGTCGTGACACTGACACACACATAATCCGTGTGTGTGTCTGCGTGAGTCCGTCGAGTGGGAACGAGCCGACCTGTTTGTGTCCGATTCCGTAAGTGACGAGCAGTTTCTCTGCGAACGAGTTGGCGTAAGTGTTGAGTTCCGTTCGTTCGTCGTGCTTGGCCCTCTTCTTGTCCTTGGCGAGTGAGTAGGGCAGCTTGGCCATGAGTGCGATGGCCAGTTGGTAGAAGGTCTTGCCGAGGCTTCCACAGGCGTGCTGCGTCTCCTGTCTGAACTTGAGCAGTCGCGTGTCGACGTCGTTGGCCTCGTCGTCGGTGAGCCATCCGTCGGGGTCGCACAGCCAGGTGGTCTCGCCCGCCTCGGCCGCCTCGCCGCGGTTGCAGCTCGTGGGGTCCAGGAACGGACTCGGGTAAGTCGACAGGGACCACTCCCTGCAAGCCAAGCACCGTATCGCACACTCACACACACAAAACAGACAGACAAGGCGTGATGTGGGGATGAGTGAATGAGTGAATGAATCAGCGTGTCGTGTTTGGTGCTTCACTCACATGGTCGCATTCCTGTACATTTGCAAAGCAAACACACGGACAACGAGACGCTCAATGACTGTGTGTGTCTCCTCTGATGTCTGCTCGCTCACTTCTTCTGAGTCGGTCCGCCGCTCTTGACGCCAGTCGGGTCGGCGTGTGAGAGAGGGCGGAAGGAAAACCGCACAGACTGGCTGTGGGTGTCTGCCGATGGCTGCACGTCGGTGAAGAATGCCTCGTCCAGCTGATAGGTCTGCTGGGCTGAAGCACCCCAGACGAGCAGGGCACAAACACTCACAATGACCAGCTTCATGGTCATCTTGCTCGCCCGCACACGCAGAGAGAGAGAGAGGGCTTCTCGATTGGTGGTTAATCAACCAAAGTGTACAAACAAACACGTACATGTACATGTACATGTATACGTATGCCATGTCCGTACACACTCTCTCATATAGACAGACACAAGCGAGTGGGTGAATTCGAATCATCTAGGGCATATTCACAAAGCCGCCTGCAGCTGCCTGTGGCTGTTGCATCACAGCTGCCGGGCCTCCCATCGCCATATACCCCACCGGCGCTACCGCAGGCCCTCTCGGCTGCTCGTACACCACTTGCGGCGGCTGCTGCTGCGGCACGTAGTACTGCTGCTGCTGTTGCTGTTGGGGCAGAGGGACGTATTGAGGCACCTGCACCACAGCAGGCGCCTGTGGCTGCTGTACCGCCGACCAGCCGTACTGCACTGGGACGACGGGCTGTTGGTAGAGAGGGGCAGGAGGAGGCGTCTGGATGTAGGCGGGCGACACCGGCCGAGGAATGTCTTGAACAAAAATAGGCTGGGTTGCAGGCGAGTAGTGGCTGATCGAGCTCGGCGGCTGCGCGATGTAGGAAGAAGGCGAGGTCAGCGGCATCATTTGTTGCTGCGTGGTTGTCTGATACGTCTGATACATGATACCGTCCCCATTCTCCTTTCCATGTTGGCCATGCTCGCTGATGCTCCTCAACTTCGCTGGAGAGCTGCTTGTGCTCCGATGCGGATAATTTGTAGCCGCTGCGCCATCACCAGACGGCCGCGATGCCATGGATAAGTCAACGGTTTCATCGCTGTCTTCAGTGGTCTTCTCGAAGCTGCACGTGCACCGCAGTCGGCTGTCCTCAGACAAAGAATTGGAGAGCTGGATCAGCGATGCCGCCCCTGCAGAGCTCTCATTGGCTGTCATTCGAGGCCGCCCCGCACCCTCTCCCTGTGGTGGGATCTCGATGAGCACGGGCACAGAGTAGAGGTGCTGCCTTTCGACGCGGGTTGTGCCGTCCTCATCTTGAGAAACCTGCAGGAGGGGGTGCCACGACTGCAACGCGTGCGTGGTGGAGGCCAAGAAGCCCAGCAACAGCACCGATTGAAACATCTCCACACTTGGCGGTTGCATTTACACGAGCGCGCAAATTACCCCCCGTCCTGGCGCGGGAGCCTAGCTAGGCCGGCCTCGCCTCACACTGACGCTATTAGGTATGCAGATGTAATGGAAACCATGTCAGAGACCTCTTCGCATTCGAATGCAACAGGTGCGTCCATCACACATCCGTCCGGGAACACGAGAAAAAAGCCCAGACGCATCAATCGCAAGGGGTGGCTCTCATAGCACAAGCATGCCGTCTCACATCCATCCATCCATCCATCCATCCATTCACACATGAATCGACATTCGAATGGTGACAGGCACCAAGCAAAAAGGCTCGTCTGTCACCCTACCTAGTTCCCTCCTCGCTGCCCCACCGTCTCATCATCACTGTTTCTGCCTCTTAGCTGATGGCCCGTCGGCACCCGAACGTGCCACCTGACAGCAGGCAGAAAGGACAACTGTGCAAACACAAACATGCCCTCGGGGCTCACCCGTTTAGCATTTTGCAGCATGGGGACATTGCTGCTCCCCGCCACCGCCATTGGCTGGGGGTGGATGAGGGGCGTGATAGGAAACATACCTCCCACAGCAGGCGGATGCCCACCCAGCACCTGCACCAACCAAGCGAAATCAACGAGGCAAGGTGGCCACAGTTCATTGCACCATCCATTGCCCCCCCTTGCTGCCCTCGCAGACCCACCGGGAACAGGTGGGGAATGGGCACGATGGCGGGCGCCGGTGGGGACGACACAGCCTGACACGCAGACACGTACACACGTGCATCGCAGATGGATGGCATGGATTGGGGCGAGAGCATTGCATTCATCATCCTGTCCTGTCTCCCTTGTTTGTTGTCTGTCTGCTCACGTTGGCGTATGCCTCTGTGTATGCCTTGTGGGCTATGAGCATGCGATGGGCCGCCTCACGCAAGCGGGAACCTGACACACACAACACATCAACACACAGAAAGAAGACAGGGCAGGAGAGTGACCCACAGAACGCACCCGATGCCGCCGCGCCGCGCGGGGCACTAATAGAACAAAAGGCTGGCTACTCTTCTGCTGGTTGCACACTAACACATGCGTCTACATGGGTATGCCGTCAACCGACCGTCAGCAAGTGGAGAGAAGCGGGATTCATCATTTCGCTTCAGGGCCGTGTCGGGCTGTTCATATCACACCAATACCAATACTCATGAGCAGCAATCGATGGATGGATGGATGGATGGCACGGCGAGGTAGCCATCAGCAGCAGAACAGTACTAGCGGCAAAGGGCGAGCGATCGCTCCCTCGAACCTCATTCATTGGGCACCGCCTGTCTGCCTGGCACGTGTGTGTTGTGCAGGGTGTGCGTGTGTGCATACCTTGAAGTAGCCCTGCACGGACCATCTGAGCATGTCAAGACTCGTGAACGGCCCTTGTTGCTGACACACACAGAGAGACAGACACACAGGGTGGATGAATGGATGGATGGATAGGTCTTCCCTCCCTCCCTCTGTGTGTGTGTTCACCTGTCCTTGGAGATCCACATACTGCCAATCGTGAGCATAAGCACATGTAGACGAAGACTGAATGACCCAGACAGACAGAAGAGCACATTCACACAGGGTCGGTCCATCGACCAATGGTATGGTTGTGCCCTCTCTCCACTCACTCCGCATCTCTCACCAGATATTCCGGAGGCAGCATACTCAACTCCTCAATCAACTTCACACACACACACACACACACGAGACATTGGACCGGCGCCTCACCTCCCGTGCTTCCCCAGCCTTTATCACCTTTGCCGCATCCGGTGCCCCGACAGTAGCCACTCCCGGCTGCTGATGTTGCTGTTGCGGTGCCGCTAGAGGCATCCCTGCTGCTGCTCCCAATGGCTGTGGCGGCTGGACAATCGCAGGCACAGCGGGGGATGGAGCCACCGCAACGCTAGGCGGGGATACCGTCGTCGTGAGTGGTGACGAAGACGACACCGGCTGCTCACTGCGGCAATGGCGATCCCCGCCCTCGCTCTCACCCTTGCCGAACTCCCCCAGACCGAAGCGCAGGTCCATTGGCCTCACCGGATGCGCACCTGACGACCCATGCCATGGCTGACCCCCTCGCGACTCATGCCATGGGGGGATCTTCCTCGGCCCATTGTCTGGCGAGAGAGAGCGGTGCCTCACATAGCGGGGATGGCCAGTGTCACGGGGCCCGTCGACAAATGGGAGGTCGTCATCGTATCTGCGGATGGGCGGAGGCCGCCAGTCGTATGGACGGGGTGGTGGCCGGAAGTCTCTGCCGATGTCGTCATAGCTGTCGAAGGGGTGATGTGGGTGTGGGTGTGGCGGGGGCATGCGTGGGGGGTAGCCGTCTGGCGGGGGGCCATAGTCAAGCATGATGGGGGGAGGGGGAGCAAAGGGCCGCCTTTTGCGCGGCGGCCCTTCGCGTGGTAGCCCGACATCGTCCTGCATGCGCACACAGAAATGGAAGGCAAAGGACAAGACAGATGTTTTGTGACGTGTCTGTGATGTCTGTGATGTCTGCAATGCATGCATAAGTGCCCCAAGAAAATATACATGAGTCTCAGGCTTCTGGTACTGACTGGTAGCTAATCACGACCACTCTAGATGCAGCCACTCAGACAAACGAGGTTCTGTCTTCAATCATCCCCAACTCTACCCGTCCTTCCACGCACTCTCTCCCATCCCACCCACCCACTTCGCCAATGGCTCACCCGCGGTCTGTCCTCGTCTCTCCTGCCCCGCCGACGCGACTCCCGTCGGCTTCCCGACGACATTGAGCAGGGCAGCTCGGGATGTGGCGGCCCTCGTGGTGGAAATGACGGCCGAATGTCGTCGGGGAAGTTGTCCCAGTGGATGGGAGGGCCACGCGTGAACGGTGGGCGCGGGAAGAGGCGGTCATCCGGGAGCTGATTGATCACAGCGCCAGATAACACGAGGCAGATTGAGACAGTCAGTGATTGTTGCTGACCCTCGCTTCTGCAAATGGCGGCCCTGGACGCCAGTCGGGAGAGAGGGAACGCCGGCCTCTCTCATCTGCATCAACAGGCACAGGCACAGGATCTTGTTGGTGTTGTGCTGTGTGTGAATGTGGCTCGGTGACCTTCCCTTACAGAATGGAGGTGGACCCATACGCCCATCCCGAGGAAACGACATCGTTCACGCGAGCCTGAGCACGTGCGAGGTCGTGGCCGTCGGTCGCTCCTTCTCTTCAGAGGTGCCTGGGTTTCTGTTTATGGCCTCCTGTTGGCCGAAAACGAAATAAATGCGGCGAGAAACTTTCGCGAGCTGAGACAAACCCCTGATTTGAACTCGCAGTCTTTTCACATTTTTTCGTCCGCGTTTGGCTTTGCAGCCTTGTTTCGTCCACATCTCCTGCGTATCTTTTTCTTTTCGGCTGGTTGTTGGCTTGTGTTGTCCGCCGCATCTCCCTCTACCCCTCCCAACTCGTCCGGATCCATCCGCCGCTTTTTCCTCCACGGCCGTGCCCCGGGCGAGGGCTCGCCTGGTGGTGCCGTTCCTTGTGCGGAGCGGCTGGCGACTGCCTGGCGCCTGCAGAGTGCGCACGCGCCTTCTTTTCGCACAAACCGCCTTCGTCAGGTGAATACATATGAGTGTGGCATCGTGCGTCCTGTCTCTCGGGTGTGGTGATGGTGTGGTGTGTGGATGATGTACAGGGATGAATGCATGGTGCATTTCGTTGTCATAAGTGTGCTCAGATGCCCCCTGTTGCCATGTCTGTGTGTGCAGATGAAGTGGTCATTTCTTTCATTCCCGTCTCCTTTTCTCAACACATTTCTGTGAAGGTTAGCGAGTGCCTCATTGAGATTGGTGTTCACGTGCGCGTCGGATTCCCTGTCTGCTGCTCTCCACAAACGAGATCCCTTGGTCCGACGAAATAAAAAGAGACAGATTGAAAATTTATCCAATTCATCTTTGTGTCTTGCAGCCCGCCGAGAAGTTTTCACGACGACGGCAACCTCCTGACCAACGAGGAGACCTGCGAATGGAAGCCACAAAGATAGTAGCGTGCGCGTGCGCTGCCAAAAACTCAGAATGCTCACTGCTTTGACCAGCAAAAAAATAAGCTGTGTCTTCTGAGCAGGCCAGTCGCCTCATGCGCCGCCACCAAGGGCTCTCTCTATATATCGTGACGAACACTCGACATCTGTCCTTTTTGCCTTCTCTTTCAGCTCAGCGTGAGAAGTCTGGCGGCCGAGAAACCGGCATCGACAAAAAGATTGTTTCACGCCGAAGGAGTGGGCACTGCTGTTCGCACGGGTTCGCGCGCAGGTAAGTGATGGAGCGACTGACGAATGAGACTGACAGTGACCGCCGTGCCCATCTAATTGTTTGTGCAGAACGAGTCGGAAGAGGCCAGGCGTCGCGTCGCTGCGTCAAAAGCCGCCCAGAAGTTGCACGCGGCCAAGCTGTGGGAGATGAAGGCGAGGATGGATGCCGGCGAGCAGGTGGATGCGGTCGCCTGGCTGTTGGAAAAGTGAAATCGAGGCAGTTCCCATGATTGTCTCACACGCCGACGCCCTGAAGGCCCTGGGCCTGCAGACCTCCGCCACCCTCGCCGACGTCAAGACCCGGTTCCACGAGCGCTGCCTGGTAAGCGCACTCGCGAGTGGGGAAGGTCATGTTGATGGCAGATGCCCATTCGATGCACTTTTGCACTGGTGTGTGTGCAGAAGTGCCACCCCGATAAGGCTGGCTCTTCGGCAGCGTTGCGGAAGCTGCACGAGGCGTACAAGGTCGCCTGCGCCACCCTCGTTAGCGGCACTGTGGCAGCGGTAAGCAGCCGCGAACGACCCCACTGCATGTGCTCTGTAGCAGACGTCTGTCTCATTGCGTTGTTGTCTGTCTGTCTGTCTGTCTGTCTGCCATCGTCAGGGCCGTCAGAAGGCGTCTTTCACGCCCGATGACTTAGACCGGCTTCGCGAACAGGTAAGTGATGGACCGACTCACGAATGAGACAGACAGACAGACAGTGAGTGACCGCCGTACCCGTCCTATTGCTTACATGTGCAGAGGGACGAGGCCAGCCGAATCGCCGCCTCCTCACAAGCGGCATCGAAGGCGTGGCTCGCCAAGTTGCAAGAGGTGTGGGCGAGGGAGGCTGCTGGCGAGGAGGTGGATGAGGAGGCCTTTGTGGAGGAGGCCCGACGGGCGCCCAGGGCGGCAGCAGAGGAGGCCAAACGCAACTTTGACAAGGCCACCGCTGCCCGCCCCACCGAGGAGGAGCCCGCCGCCGCCAAGAAGGACATCCCCCCCGCCACGCGCACACGAGGCGCCAACCCACACACGGCCCCCGCCCAGCCACCACCGACCATGGCCACCACCACCAAGAGCGCCGCCACCGCCGCCAAGAAGCCGCCCGCCAAGCCCACCAAGGCAGTCGCCCAGCCACCGCCCACCAAGGCCACCAAACGCCCTGCCGCAGCCGCCATGCAGAGACCTGCCCCCACGGTCCCCGCGGCAGCAACCAGGGTGTCGAAGCGGCAGCTGCAGCACCAGCAGGAGGCCAGGGCGAGGCGGCAGGAGTTGGAGAAGAGGAGCGAGGAGGCGGTCAAGCACCGCTTCCGCGTGTGAGTGGCTGGGTTGCGCGCGTCTGACGTGTTAGAGGAGAGACACCAGCTCTCCTCGGCTGTTGGCATGCTGTGTGTGTGTGCAGTATCGCTGCTTACATTTTATATTCCGATGTCTGTGTTGTTGGTTCCCTCGTCCAGTGCTCACCCTGAGCTCTCCCTTGTAAGTGTGTGGTCGAATGAGAGAAGAGGGTTCGTGCTGGCGGGCAATGACAGGATGTTGATTCGATACACTGCATGCGAGCTGTGTGTGTGTGTGCAGAAGTGCCACCCCGATAAGGGCGCGTCCGCGGCATCGTTCCAGCAGCTGCACGAGGCGTATGAAGTGGCCTGCGAGTACCTGGCTGAAGCCAGTGTGGCAAGGGTAAGCAGCCGCGAACGAACCCACTGCACGTGCTCGTCTGGCAGACGTCTGTCTAACTCTGTGCTGTTGTGAGTTATCTCAGGTTCGAGTGAGTTTCACGTCCGACTCCCTGTGCGCGCGACCCGCCGCCAAACCCATGCCCGTCTCACACCGACGCCCTCTCTGTGCTGGGCCTCCGCACTGCTGCCACTGCTGCTGACATCAAAACACGGTACCGCGAGCGCTGCCTGGTAAGCGGACTCGCGAGTGAGGGGGCAGATGCCCATTCGATGCACTTTTGCACTGCTGTGTGTGCAGAAGTGCCACCCCGATAAGGATGGCTCTTCGGCAGCGTTCCAGCAGCTGCGCGAGGCGTACAAGGTCGCCTGCGCCACCCTCGTTAGCGGCACTGTGGAAGGGGTGAGCAGCCGCGAACGAACTCACTGCATGTGCTCTGTAGCAGACGTCTGTCTGTCTGTCTGTCTGTCTGTCATCGTCAGGGCCGTCAGAAGACCTTCATCACGCCCGATGACTTAGACCGGCTTCGCGCACAGGTAAGTGATGGACCGACTCACGAATGAGACAGACAGACAGACAGAGAGACAGTGAGTGACCGCCGTGCCCATCTTCTTACTCACATGTGCAGAGGGACGAGGCCAGCCGAATCGCCGCCGCCTCACAAGCGGCATCGATGGTGTGGCTCGCCAAGTTCCAGGAGAGGTGGGCGAGGGAAGCTGCCGGCGAGGAGGTGCATAAAGAGACCTGGGGGGAGGAGGCCCGGCTGGCGGCCGAGGCGGCGGCAGAGGAGGCCAAACGGCACTTCGACGAGGCCACGACGGCCCACACGACGCACGGCACCACGCCCGCCGACGCTTCCTCTTTTGGGCGTCACTGTACAGCACAGCATAGCATACGGTAAGGGTAGGGGAGCAGGTCATATGCAGCATTGAACCATCCCTTCATGTCATCTCTTGCCGTTGGCTGTCCTTCCTCCACTCAGGCAACGAGTGGAGCCATAGCGTCAGCTGGCGACACCCATATCACATCCATTGCTTCTGTCAGTCACCGCAGAGGCTGCTGCTGCTCGACCGACCTCAGCAACATCATCTCCACCTACCCTCTCCCGCACCCGCAACTCCATCTGGACAGCAGTTCGACCCGCAGACGCATCTCGCTCAGCGCCCCACGGGCCCTCCACCCCGCCGCCGACACTCAAGCGCCCTGCCGCAGCTGCCAAGCAGAGACCTGCCCCCACGGTCCCCGCGGCAGCAACCAGGGTGTCGAAGCGGCAGCACCAGCAGGAGG